CTGGAAAAGGAGGAGGCAGAGTAGCCCTAGCCACTGAGCTCGCAGTCAAGCTTCTGCAGAAAGAGATGTGCCTTGTCACTGTTAAGTTCTGTGAGCCACAGGAACATAACAAGTTTCAAAAGTATTGATAGCCATGGGCTGATCTGGAGAAAAGCTGTTCCAAAATGAATAAACAAATAATTACTAATAAATTCCATCCAGTTTGCCTATTACTTGCTGTTTTCTTTAATCAGACAATACAGACCTGTCCTGTTTCTAATCCTGGAGATATTTTCAAAAACACAGTAGAACCAGGCTTTCAGTTTTAAAGGTAGATTGGATACTGATTGTAAAAATATACTCAGCTTTTAAATGACATTAGGTACATTTTCAGTTTGCCCCCACAACAGATTTCACCCTTTATTTATTTATTTATTTATTTATTTATTTTGTATTTTAGGGAAGGGTCTACAGGGTGTTCAGGGTCTCACTACTAGATCAGACTCATAGTAATTCACCTATTTACAGCCTCCCAAGAGCTGGGATTACAGGTGCACCACCATGCGCAGTCTCAGTTGTCCTCTCAGTGCGCCCCAGGGGTGGTGCCAGAATGGCAGGCCCAGGGATCGAACCCCTGGCCCCTGTGCCTGTTTGCAGGTGCTTTAATCCACTGAGCTATTTGGCAGGCCCTATTTTTTATTTTTTAAAGAGAGTACAAATTAGAATTAAAACAGAAAAAAAATGATAAATGGTACAGAATTTCACTTAACAAAGTAATATGAATTTCACAATACTTCTAATACTTAGTGCTATCTTGGTACAGGGTCTCCCTGTGCAGCTTGGGCTCTAGCTGTGTTTGTAGGCGTGCACCACCATGCTCAGTCTTCCTGGCTAGCAAGGCATGCAGTACTGGAGATCAAACTCAGGCCCTTCGGCTTGCTAGGCAGGTGCTTAGACTGCTGAGCTATCTCCCCAGCCTCTCATCCTTGCTTTTTAAGAGCCATTGGATATTGCATATGCTGAGACCACAGCCAGTGTTTCTGTGGCTAGCATGGGGGCTGACATCCCAGTTCCGTCTTGGAGATGGGCATGGTAATGGCTGTTCTCAGGTTGACTTGGGTCCCACAAAGGAAATTACACTCCCCCACCAAAGAAAAGAATGCCCCATATCTATATTTTTTACTGAAAAGAATCCACATCTTCTCTAAAATTGTGTTGCTCGTTACTGGAGCTATAGAATCTCTCAAAACATAAAACATTCTTAGTTTGATGAATTTTATTTAATATAAAATCAAATTTTGACACAAACGTTTCTCAAAATCTTTCCATCTGTCAATCGGTCTCTCCCCTCCCCACTACCAACCCTACTCATTGCACAGGCATGGAGCAGGGTGCCTCCCCTGCACGCTGCCAGTCTTACTCAATCTGAAATAAATATAAGCTATTCTGAAAATAACTATATGAACTTACACAAAATTTGTGTAAAATGTGTTGTAGATTTATGCATTGGCTTATGCTATATATCTTTCTCATTTACTATCTCACTTAACAGTTGCAGCAGCTCCCTGAAGTACTATTATTTTCAAAGTAGAGACAAAGAAACAGTGCTTATTGGGAGCTAATGTTTCCTGGCTGTGTAACTGACAAGGAACAACGGCAAATGAAATCCATATTGATTAGCTTATTTTTCTTTGAACTAGAATGTGAACCTCTTTCTTAGACATTTAGTTTTGGAAGTAAAATATAAAAATCTCAACTCTTAAAAACATCATATTGAGAGTAATACCTATATCTGTCACTTAAGGACAGCAGAGAGGAAAAAAAAAACCTGACAAATGCCTTGTGCTGTTGAGTGACCAGGATTTTCACACACATGGGTACCCCACAAATTGACTAAGACCTGAATTTAAACCTTCCCTGAACCACTTCCAGGAGGCTGCCGTCAGCAGTCGGCCTCCCCAAGACCATGACAGGACAGTCTGCTTCTTGAGAATGGAGCCAATATTACCTGCTTGTTCATCATAAATTAAAGGTCTCTGATTCGCTTGTTACATGCCTGGGTTTTCCTTGGAAGCAAGCCCTGGAAGCTGTTTTTCTGATCAATCCTAGTTCTCACATGAGTGCTTACAAAAGAGAAAAACAACATTTACTCAGGATAAAGACTGAGTTGTAGGTGCTGTGAATCTTATCAATTGCCTTGCGAAGGTTAGGGGGGAAAAAAACAAAAAGGAAGACAAGAATTTCCATTGTGCACACTCCACCACGTGCCAGGACTAATGTTGTTCCTAATAATGTTTCCGAGTGCTCTGGGATTTCTGAGATGGATACAGATGAAAACTTAAGTGGAAATAAATGTGGGAACCGAAGGACATACTTGATTAATGAATGCTGCAGTATGAAAAACAGCTAGTAACTATTTAATAAAGAAAACTGTTACCATGCACAAGTTAATGGGAAATATTACAGCACCTAGCATTTCTTTTTTCTCTATTTTTCTTACAAGTCAGCAAGATCACCTTAAGTGAACTTAACAAACATTTGTCATACTTGAAGTCAGCCTTGCACACACAGACACACACACACAAACACACCCACACCATATAAAATTATCTTTTGTGACTTCAGCAAAGTGTGTAATACCTAATATATATTCTTTATGATCACTTGGTTCATTGTGTGGAGTTATTTTTCCTAAAATCATTAAGACAAAGGCAAATTATTTTTATCCGAAATGTGAGCCAATTGATGACCATTTTCCATAGCTTAAATACACACTTAGTACAAGCCATTCAGTTTCAACACACAATTTTGAGTGTTTTGTCATACTGCTCAGAAACACAACAGAAGTGAGCAGTGCTCTGGATGTGACCCCTCGGCCTGCCACCAACTCTGCTCCCTCTTAGGCCACATGTATGTGGAGGCATCCAGCGGCCTTGGGGAGGACAGTTCTCGATAGAGGGAAAGAAACAGAGACACAAATACCTGCCACTTCCAAGGTTCTTTCCTTTAATTTATGAATTTATTAACAGTCTATGTAAGCAATAACAGAAACAAGAAATGTGTGTTGAAACTGAAGAACCACAGTGTAAAAGCACCTATTTAACCTACATAAAATGGTATGAAATCTCAATTTCAACCTGTGGAAAATGGTATGGTACAGGATAGATGCCCCCAACTGGAGCACTGCCAGTGGAAAGGAATTCACTTTGGAGTTATGAATAAAAAATGCTTCTCCCTCCTCTTTATCCAATAAAATCATCATTTATGGGCATCTAGTGACAGAATAAGTAGGAAGTGAGCTGGTTGGCCACTAGGCCTCCCAGAGAGCCACAAAAGCAAGACGGTGATAGAGTAGTTCTGGTCAAGCAAGTATTTCATTCATGATTTCTTTAAAAGACCTTTCTCTAATGTGATAGAAAACAATCTAAAAAGAAATATAAACCATCAACAAACAAAAGCAGAAAGCCTTCTTTCTCGAGGCAGCCACCACAGTTAAATATTTTTGAGATGTTCCCATGAGCCACAGCAGCAGCTGCAAACACACCACCACAGGAGCCCAGCCCGCTGACCCCTGCCAAATGCTGGCCATGCTGGGCCTGTGATGTGGCAAAGCACCAGCAGTAGAAAGCCTTTATCAGGACTTTGAAGAAGCCGCATGCTCTATCAGAATGAATGTAATAAACTCACCGGTTTGCAAATAGAGAATAAGTTACTTTCAGTAGCAGATCTTTTGATCCTGGTGAACATCAAATAAATGTTTAACAGGTTGTGACTTAAAGGAGCCCCCCATTATCAATCCTTGTCCAACCCTACTTCCTGAGATATATCTTTTCCTCATTTTCATTCATTCAGTTTCTCTTCTTTCAGGTGTGTGTATGGTTGTATCTCTGTCCTTTCTCTCTGTCTGTCTCTGTCTGTCTCTGTCTCTCTGTCTCTGTCTCTCTGTCTCTCTCTGTCTCTCTATCTCTGTCTCTCTCTCCCTCTCTCTCTCTCTCTCTCACACACACACACACACACACACGCACACACATACATACACACACAAAGACACACACCCTCCCTCATAACATTTTGTAAAGCAGTGATTAAAAAGAAAGTTCAACAGGGCTGGGGAGCTAGCTCAGCATTCTGAGTGCCTGCCTGGCAAGCATAAGGACATGGGTTCAATCCCCGGTACTGCAGAACCTGGGGTAGGCTGAGCCAGCCATGGAGACCAGGCATGGTGGCACAAGCTTGTAATCGCAGCGCTGGGGAGGCTCAGACAGAAAGATCACCGTGAGTCTGAGCTGTGTAGCAAGACTCTGTACCAAATAAGTAAATAAAGAGTCCAACAGAGAGACAGAAGCACTTCCATGGTCTCTCCTGGCTCTTCAGAATATATTATATAGGTTACTAAAATCAATTTCTCAGCAGTTCCTATAGGCATTTTTTTTTTAATCACAGAAAATCCACAGGTTGAATAGTTCCCTAGTCTCAGTCTTGTCACTCCTCCTCTTCAGATGTAATGCAAGACATTTTCTAAGACTTACTCAACTTTTAACCAAAAATGATGCCATTTTGCTTGTTTTTACGATACCCAGATCCACTCTAGGTAAAATTATATGCATATATTAAAATTTAAATTTTGTCCTACAGCAGAAACGTTTTAAACTCCGCCCCCCCCCCCCAAAGTTGCTCCGTTGTCCTCAAAGCAAAATCCAAGAAAAGTTCCTCGCTGGTACTGCGAATACCTGGGAACCGACTCACACTGAGTAGCAGTACAAAACTGGAGCTGCCTCCTCGCTTTCTGCCCCAGGAATGCCAATCAAAGAACATTCTTTTCAGGCAGCCAAGTTTGGAAGTCAGTTGGTTTCTGGCAGGGCTTTGGGGGAGGGGAGGGCAAAGGAAGCGCAGGGAGTCCTAGGCTGATCCTCAGCCGGGAGGGAAGGCTTTCCCTCACCGCCGGCCATGGAGGCACCTCCTCTCACCCCCGCGGAGACAGGTAAAAGGACAGCGGAGTAAATCAGCCGGGGATGAAACAGCGGAAGCTGGGTCGGAGGGGGGCGAAGGAGCGGGCTGAGCGCCTGCTGTTGGCCAGCGGACCGCAGGCCTCTGCCAGTGGGACTCCGGTGGAATGTGAAACCAAATCATTTTCAAGTTAAAGATAGACACAGTGTACACCAGGAGCTGGAAGCCGGATTTTAAATTCATCTCTCGCCCTAGAATTCCAGCGAGCCTTGTGATGGTCTCGCTGGCAATTAACAATCTGGTGGGAGTTTGTTCTTCCAGTGAATGTGCTAAGAACTGGGGTGCATTTTGGATGTACTGGAATTAGAAGGACTTAGGAGATCGCGGTGCGTGTACCCCAGGGTAAGTGAAAAGGCTCCCTTTGAAGTGCATCGTTTCTCCGGAAAGGTTCATATAGAATTTTTCTCTTTTGTTGGTGTAAACGAAACAGTGCTCATTCAGATTATGTGGTGTGCGTAGCCATCTACTTTCCTGAGGTTCACTGGCATTGCATTTTGGGGAGCAGAACCAAGTAAGAGTGTTGTAGCTTGTTTTGCAACTTACATTGCAGGTTTCTGATGGTTTTGCCTTTACTCTTGCTTTTGCTTGTTAACCCTTAAGTTCCCTGAGTTTACGGAGTTACCATAGCAATTGTTTCTTGTCACAATAAAGACTAAATGTTACTGTGCTGGTTATGCCACTGGATGAAATTGGGACAGGGAGTTGTTTCCCCTGCTTGGCACTAAGTCACTTTCCAGTTTAAAAAGAGAAGTTTCAAGCAGAGAGGAAAGGTGGTCTTTATGAACTGTCTAAAAGTACCTACGAGCCCCTGGAAAGCATTCTATTTTTTAAGTAATTGAAAAAATGGACAATTTTCATTAAAGAGAATAATTTATTAGTAGAAGTTTTCTTTCTTTTTTTAAAGTGTTACCTCATTAATTCCGAGCTGGTTCCTCTGTTCCAAGAGAGCTGATATCTGCTAAGTGAATAAAAGCATTCTGACTAAACAGAGCTTGAGAGAACAGGGTGGACAAGGGTGTTCAATTGCTGTGGTCGTGCAGTGTTTGAAGGACTTAAATTTTTTTTATTAAAAGAGAGAATGAAATACTTCAGTTCTGCGTGTTTTGCCCATGTATAGGTTTTGTTTCTTGTTGTGTCAAGTGACCTCTCCCTCTGCTCCTAAGCACAGCTTTTCTAAGCTTGAGCCACATTCCTTCTGAATAAATACTGGCCATAATAGTTACCAAGTACATGGTGTGAATTGGAAATTCTACTTTATATGGGGAAAATAAATCTGCTGCTGACGCTTGTCCTCCAGAATGTGGTGCTGAACAGTTGTCAAATGTAAGCAGCTAGTTTTTGCATTGTCAAATAGCCAGATTCGAATGAACTACACTGACTGTCCTAGGTACAATCGGCCTTTCAGAATGATTGTCTCCCTCAACTTTGATAAGAATAAATCATATGCCGTGTTATTGTTCTATGATAAAAATGGGCATTATCCTGATAGAATCCCTTGGTTTTGCAACTACTAGATAATCTGGCAAGGACAATGAAAATGTGAAGTTGGCAGAACTCAGGTTTGACCTCCACTCCCTCCTCTGCTTATTTTTCCCCTCCTCCTCCTCCTCTTCCTCCTCCTCCTCCTCTTCCTCCTCCTCCTCCTCCTCCTGTCTTTCCTCTCCCTCCAAATCCCTGGAGACTGTTGCGGCCAGGGGCCCTTCTTTTTACAACAGTTCAGACCTATCAAACGAAAAGTGGGAGTGTAAATCGCTTTAAAGTCAGTGTACTAAACCCATGAAGAATATTTACACTTCAGTATACAAACCCACCCTCAACGAGTTGAGGCAGTTTCTTCCTAAAACTTCTAATTAACCCATTAAGTTGTAAAAATTACAACTAATTTTCATTTCCCCTGGAACAGCTGGTACCTTTGTAAGATTTTCCTGGTCAAACCAGATGCCTGGTGATATTCTGCTGCCAGCCGTGTCCTGAACGGTTGACATAGGGAATGAACCTGGAGCAAATCTTAGATGCCTCCCGGAAGTTTGCAAATGCAGGCGCCCATACATAGTATGCACACAGACAAATGCAGACATTCCTTTTACTTAACTAATATGCAGAAGAAAATTTTTATCCAATTATAAGACTAAGTGAAAAATTATATTAGGCTCAGCAAGGAAAGTTTTCCTAAGTACGTCTAACGGGAAAAAAATCCAAATCTTAAAATGTAAGAATCTTAAACTATGTACCTGAATGATGTTGACAGTGGGAAAAAGTGTATATTTATCTGCTACTATCTTATCAAGTTGATAGATCCCAGTTGCTTGATGAGACTGTGAAGCTTGGCTATATTGCTTTGAACATAGTAAAGATAATCATTTTAGGACATGCCTACTAATTATAATATCTCAAGTGCTACTGGATGTGTTTCTATTATTGCTGTTCCTGCCACTTCTTCTCTGAGGTGTCTTGTTTTCCTGGTAGCTTAACTCTTTGCTCTAAGTTAAAACTGTTTTTAAAGATACCTGCAAGAATAAGTGGAGACCTTATGAGACTGCTTTTTTCCCCCCTCAGAGAAAACAGTGGTTTGCATCTGCCGAGCCTGGGGGTGATACTGGGCCAGAATCTCCTTAGACAAAGCACATTTGAAGCTGGGTCCTCCACATGGCAAGAGGCGACCTGTGTGAGCCATGACTTGTATCAGGCCCACGCCATCCTGAAGGGAAGTGAGGCAGGTAAAGCACTGCAGGTTACCAACCTAAAGTTAAGTCACTTAATTCTTAGTTAAAGCCCTTACTAGAGGGCCACAGACTAAGGCTTTTCCTTGAAGCCATCAGGAAAACCATGTGTGATGGCATAGGCCCATCATCTAAACCCTTCAGAGATCAAGGCAGGAAGATCACTATGAGTTCAAGGCTAGCCTGGGTTCCATGGTGAGTTCAAGACTACCCTAAACTATGTAGTGAGACCTTGTCCCAAAAAACTGAAAGGCAGAAAGGAAGCTGTTTTCCTGGATCCTCCCCCGGCCCTGTATATGCCTGGGATAAAGATTTTTTAAAGCTGAGCTTACCTCTCTGACTGCCGCTCTCTGAAACTTTCACTTACTAGATTCTGTCTTAGTAGCCCTTTGTTCTCCTTTTTGTTTGTTTGTTTTGTTTTTGTACCTGCTTCAAGCATGCTGTACTTATCTGCTTGAGTGTATCTGTCCACATTATCTCAATTTTATTACAAGAGGAGGAAATCTACTCTACTACTTTTATAATCATTTCTTTGAAACTTTTTTTTTCCACAGAAATTATCAGACCATCTGCTGATGTCATTGGTCATTTCAGGGAGTTTTTCTGTTTATTTTTATTTTACTTTTTAGTCATTACCTGATTTACCTTGACTCTTTGGAAGGAAAAATGCATATGTATGCTAACTGAGAGATTCATGTTTTCCAACTTGATAAGAACCATTTACAAATACTTGACATTCCTCTTATTTGTCCCTAGCTGACCACTTTCTTTGGCAATCTCTTTAATCTACCCAACTGCCATCACTCTCAGCTGTCGACTTTGACTCTTCCAGCTTTGTTGTGCCTTCTATTCAGTGTCACCACATGTTTTAAATTATCTTAAATAAATTCCTCTTCATTTTCTTTGCAGTTGCTCTACTCAGATTTCTACTGTCTTCCTTGAGGATTACTATGGTCTTACCTTATGTTCCATATCTAGGTTCCATCCACACTCCCTGCCCCCAAAACACAGGTACCAACATATCTATCTTCTAAAAAATCAGAGGCATCAATAACTACTTAAAATGCTTCAATAGTTTTTCACTTTAAAATAAACCTCACTCTGCTTAGTAAATCCTACACATTTCTACTAAGGGCCCCTTTCACTTTCTTAACATTGTTTGGTCTGGTTCACTGGTTATGATCGACACCAACCACACATGATGGTGGTCTGGAATAAACCCTATGCCATCATGCCTCTGTGTCACCCTGCCTACTGAATCCTTTTCCCCCAAACACACACTGCTCCTTTATTATATGAGCAAATCACATTTCTCCTTCAAGGCTGACCTCATCACCTTCCCTGTACTTCCTTTCTTCCCATAGCTCACCTACAGCTCTGGGAGGCCCTGGTATGAACAGTGTCCTACCGTACTTGTTACTGTATTCTTAGTAACTGACTCATGGAAACAATGTTTAAGGAATTGAAAAGGGCCTGTTGGAAGGACATTTTTCCTTAAAATGTCTTTTGTTTTTTCTTTCACTTTGTGATGCATTTCGCATAACTACTTATCTTACCTTAGGTTCCTTGTCAAAGGTAGGGGTTACTATTGGTCCTTCTTGTATGTCAACTAGTGCCAGGAAAAGGGATGGTTCCTTATCTAGTTATGGTAACTGTTCTGGAACAGGCATTTCTCTGTTTTCTTGCTTATTTTTCTTCCCTAAACTAGAAAAAGTGATGGCTTGAGACAGTGGAAGCACAATGAATCAGCTCCATATTATCAGAGAGGTTCGTAATTAAAATACAGTCCTAGAGTGGGGGAAAATAGGCTTATTTCAGTAAACCTAGTTCAGAATACTGGACAGCACAACAGGAAAAATTAAACACAATCAAATTCATATTATTTCATGACATACAACCTAAATCTGGACCAAGAGAAAAACGCTAGATTGCTTTCAGATCATGTGTTATGCTTCCAAAAGGAGGGCTGGTTATTTATGTACTTTGGTATCATGACCCTAAATCTTTTTTTTTTTTTTTTTTTCCGGAACCAGGGATTGAACTCAAGCCCTTGTGTTTGCCAGGGAAGCACTTATTCCACTGAGCCATCTCCCCAGCCCCCCTAAATCTTAATGCAGGTTGGAATTTCTCATGAAAAATTTTAAAAGCTTGAATGCAACTTTAATCTGATTTTATTATCATTGTATACTAAGCAATGAAAACTTCTTTATTAAAAATTGAATACAGTTGGTGGAACCAGAAGACATATATATCCTGATTTATATTTGGAGGGCAGTGTTTTTATAAAATATTTATTATATGTCTTTGTTATGCCCATTACTGAGATTTAGAAAAAACTTGATTTTATTACCTCCACAAAAAGAAAAGTCTATGTGCAGGAGAAAATTTTATCTTTTAAAGAAATTTTGACTCTATGAAATGTTCAAAGCTAATGTTTAAATGTGAACCCAGAATTCTCCATCATAAAATATTTTAAAAAATAGATTTTTCTTGTCTCCTTCATGAAAGAAACTAAAACTGGGTCTTGAATATAAGTAATAAAATCATAACTTCTAAGGAGCTAAGCTAAGCTGGTTCATTAATTCAACAATCTAAACTTACGTCTTGTTTCTTAACTGTGTT